ATTTGTAATAGATGCTGCTCTGAAAAAAAAGTGTGGCCTTTTTAATAATTAAACAGTACAAAAGTAAAAAGCCGTGACAAAGGGCTTTGCTTTGGAAATGTAAGCAAACACATATAAACAAGCACATTGCTCAGTGTACAAAGTATACTCCTTAAATGTTCATGTTTGTCACAAAACCTTACAAGTTGTTTGCTTTTAACTTCATATTGTGAGATTTTATTTATGTTTATGTGTTAGACCTCTACAGTTGTAACTAGCAAGAATCTTGAAACCTGGGGGTTAGCTCTGGCTCTTCTTTACTGCAGTGCAGGCACACTGACTTACCATAGCTTCAAAGAAGGCTCACCTAGATGATTCGGGCCCATTCCATAATTATTCTTTTGACACAAATGAAAGCACACATCTGTTTCTGGATCTTTTTAGATATATTTTCTCGATCCATCACAAACTTTGCCTTATCTGATAAGTACACACAATGGACATATCTTGTTAGGTATATGCTTCCAAAACTAGTAAAAAGTAAGATTTTTACATTATTTGGTATAGAAAAATTCAGACTAAATTTTTATATACATCGAAATCAGTGCATTACTTTGAAGACATGTGCATTGTTAGGTCACATTCTAAAGAGTGTGGAGGACATGGACAAAAGCTAGTTAAAAGACAGTGGTAATATCCAGAAAGCTTGAAGAAAAGGGTGCAAGCAGTGTACTTTTCAGGTAGACATTTGTGATACGTATTCACAACAGTGATAGTAAACATACCATGCTAGACACAACTCCTTCTTCACACCATTTAAGCCTTTTGATCCCTTTTAATTTCTCTCTAAAGCAAATCAGCAAGTTACTACACTTGGGTTTTTTGCACTGTTTTCCCTTAGGTTCCATTGGGTTTCATACGCACGCTTGAATTATTAAAACAAAAAGTCACTGATGTGCTGTTGAAAAGGAAAAAGAAAAATCTTTTATTTCACAGTGTTTTGCCTGTAAATCTAGTGGTTTTCCTGTATGACTTTGATTAGTTGGCAGGGTACTGATCAATTAATAAACTCTTAGCAAGTCTGACTGTAAAAGTACCAACACATGGAAGCAGACTATTATACATATGTTTTCTCTCAAGTTTTCTGGAGAATACGCTGGTTCTTCCCCCTGTTGCGGGAAAAATAAACATTTATTTTTGGTCTAGGTGATCTAGAGTACATTTATTTAGCAAGCTATTTTGTTACTTAGTTCCTCAGCAGAAACCTTATCAATATAACAATTAGCAGGACCAGACCTTGGAATTCAACTCTCTTCTGTTCAGGTAAGTAGCAATTATAAAAAAAACACTACCAAGAGGAAGAAATTTGTCACAGCTAAAGAAAGAGAAACTCAGACCCAAAGAGCAAACTAGAAAGTAGAGATAAGGATTTCTGCAAAGCATATAAGTGTCTAAAATAGATGACCCTGTATTTTCCCTGCTCCTGGTTCTTTAACTTCTCAAGGGCCGAAGCTATTCACTCACCTCCCCACTGGCTAAGCACTTCAACTCAAATGAACAGATTCACTCTAGACCTATCTTTCAGTACTCGATGCCATCTTCCCTCTCTCCTCTTAAAAATCAGAAGACTAGTGAATAATTTACAGTGTCTAGAGTTACTGTAAATACATTAAATTTAATATACATTTAAACTGAAAATCAAAGCAGATTTCTCAAAATACAAAAGACAATGTTATTTTGACAGGTCATTGCTGTTATTTAAAAGGAGATGGTCAACATACATATTTGGAACAAGACATATGAGATACCAGAATCAGTCTTCTACTAAGGCAACATGATACCCAACAGACTAGGTCCCATCTTTCGAATGTGAGCAGGCTTACCTAAAAAATAGCTAAGACATCCAATTTACCAAGATATTATCTTATCCCTTGTAGATACAAATATTACTTTAAACAGAACAGGTCAGACAAGTAACATTCCACATAAATGATTCATGTACCAAACACACAACAAAGAGTAAAAAAATTTATTCTATGAATGAAACTTCTGGGCACCAAATATCTGTAATGAGTTTGAACTACAGCTGAAATGTGAATACATTGTCCAAAGTCACTGGAATGTAAATTGCAGCTATAAAGAATCCTGCAGTTCACTGCACATTTGTCTAACATTTAATCTCATACAAAACGTAAAATATTCAGAAAAATTTAAATGAAACTACAACATTTCTGACAAGTATAACATTAAGTTTCCAGAATGATGAAGCTATTACCTAACTTAAATGCAGACTCTATAGGTCAATGAGTCCACATATATGAATTGATAAGTAAATGTTATTACACATACTCTCTACATCACTACTAACTGTATATGTATATACACAGGGAGTTCAAAGACTGATCCACCAAAATATATGTTTTAGAGAAAATCTTTTGATATGAAATATTTTGTTTCATACTACATTGAAATCAAACACGGTTAATCTTGCTTAAACCGTTCCTTTTGTTTGTTTGTTTGTTTGTTTAAAAACTGAAAAGTCACTTTCAAAACAAACATTTCAAATCCAGAATTCATTCAGAAGTAACCAGAAAATAATATGCCAGTATTTTTAATGACTTTTTATTTCCAAGTTAATAAAGAGGAAAGGAAGAGGTACGTTTATTTTCTCATAAACTTTAGCATATACAAAAATAAAGTGCACAACTCCAGGTGAAAAATTCAGACCTAGCAAAAATGGCTTCAATAACACTTAGGTGATAACAGCTCTGAACTGGCTTTTTCAAGATATACTCTTCTACTACAAATATGAGATCCACCTGAAGGTATTTTGTTTCTGTGATGCAAACAGCCACATTCATAATATGAACACATGTAAATGGACAATATGGGCCTAGAATTATGCCCACATATTTACAGATTATCTGTAGTAAAATCAGTTGATGTGGATTCACATTATTGTATCTGAGAGCAAAATAGACTCATTCATTACTACTGGCCTGCACACTCAATATTTGATTGACCTGGAAGAAATGGCTTTAAAACATAATGGGTCATAATGGCATTTTCTTAATAGCTACCTCAGTTCACTTTACATGTGTGGATATTTTTAAATAAGATTTTAACTTTACCTAATATGGGATAGACCCTACCCCATCTACAGACTCTATCTCTTGTGTTAGTTGCAGCTGACAGAATGAGGTTTGCTACAGCACATTCACAGCAGAACTTGATGTGTTGTATTCTATTAGGGACTATCATGCTATTAGCATGACAGCAACAGGACCTTACAGAGTTCGTGTTTTATGAGTTTTATGAGTTCATTGTTTATACCAAGCACATTGATTTTACCATTTAAAGCATCCATGGTTCATGCCTGTATTTCTGCTTAGTGAGGAAAGTGTTAAAGTCCATCGCTTGTATAATATTTTTAAAGCTGTACAGTACCATACATTTTAACTATCTCAGAAATTTAAGGAGCTGTCTCAAAGTAAGCAAACAAAGCAGAATTCATCTCTGCTCTTACTAGGAAAGTACCTCTGTGAACCATCTGATTCAATGCTTATCTTTAAGGAGTTGCTTATGACAGAGGTCATTGTATGTTTTCTAATGTTTTCAGTCAAGATAGAGCTCATAGTTAAATGAAGAGATCACAAGGAAGAAATGTTAAGGCAGAAACTTTTTTAACGCATACTCTCAAGGGGAGAAAAAAAGTAGCCACCATGTATCACTGTTTAAAGCAAGACAGATTTCTCAGACACAGAAAATGCAGAAGGCAATCACAGCTTAGAAATTTCCTGGTGCCTTTCATCTAAACGCCACATAATACTAAATAAACGTTAATGAATTAAGCTGCTTAACATAGCTACGAAGTAAGTACAGTAAAGAAGAAATGTACTTACTTTTTTGGCAGATGACCTAGTACCCTAAAGTTGCTGATCATAAAATGACCCAGAGCAATAATTGCAAGCCGTAAAAAAAAAAAAAAAACAAAAAAACATATTCTTTCATAATCTACTGAGTGCTTTGTGAGAAGCTGGGGGGGGGGGAACACTCTCAAGATACTGCTGGTTGAGTAGTTTTAAATATATACAGTTTCTTCATGAAAAGAAAAGAAAAAGGCAAAGTTTAAGAGGAATGTTTATGAAAGAAAAAATCTACTTTAATATAAACTCTATGCTTTTATCCGTTGATAAAATCTCCTTTTGTCAACTCCAAGAACTCCTGAAAGTCCCATTTCACAGTTTTAGAAATACAGGACTAGTTAGAAAAACAGAAAAATGGAAATTCAAGTTACAATTAATTTTTTTGTTCTGATTATTTAGTGTACCCATGCACAACTTCTCACAAAAGTATTAGCTTGAATATTGAAAACATGTCTGGACATGCTTATATCCCATTCTTGTAAGGCTTGGAAAGGATGGAAAATTAGCAGTGTGTAATGATTTTAAATCTTATATGGATAGCTTCACATTGATGATGTGTGTTTGACTTCATAAAGATTTTTCTGGAATTCTCCCAATTTCTTTCGGAAATTTCAGTAAATGTAAATACAAGAGTTGTCTGCAAGCGTGTATCCTCTAAAGGAGCACATCTTTATGAGACACACAGCATAAGAATGTCCTCTAATATAATTCCAAGCTGGTATTTGGAAATGCTATTCTATTAAAAAAATAATAACAAGAGTTAAGAACTGGACTCAGACTGTAACATCCCTTTAATTTCAAAGTATATACTTGCAGCATTAAGGATTATTTGTCTTCTAATGCAGCAAATGCATGAGACTAAAACATTTCTTTAAAAAAAAAAATGTCTAACTGTAGAAAAATATCAGCAATAAAACATTATTAGAATCATATAACATAACAGCACCAAATTCTTGGCTTCATTACCTTGATTCAACCATATTAAACAAGACAACAACATTTTGTTAGATCGCAGTGATAAGATCTGTTTATGTGTTTTGGCGGGAAAATAAAATTTAAAATTACCTTCGCAAATCACTGAAACAAGTTTGTTCATTCTTCTTCTTTGCTCCTACAAACCACATGTTCATGGATTTAAAATAAATAAGTCATAAATAACAATAGGACTAAAATGAAATAGACTTGTATATGTGTTATCTTTTTGTATGCCTATCATCTTGATTATTTTTCAAAGATTTCTGGCTCACATTTATACAAAGCTCTCTTCCATATTTGTGCATAGCAGAAAGGAATCCACGAGTCTGGGCTTTACTAGCTGCTGGAAGTCTGAATCTTCAAGTCCATCAGGACTCATAACTGCTAGTCTCCGTAAGGCTGCCTAGAAAAACAAAACAACACAATTGTAGTACTGTTAAGATTTGACAAAGCCTTCATTGCAGGAATCCATTATAACCATCTCTAAACAACAGCCAAGACTCAAAACTGAACTGTGGAGGTCCATGGACTCTTCTGTGTGGCTAATCTCTTGTTACTGTCTTCCTCTGTCAGATGAATCTCCCCTCAAATGCAGCTATTAAATGACAATTCCTTCTGGACACATCACCCCTAAACCTGAGCAGCAGGGACAGTGTGGTGTTAAAGAACACAGAGGTGAGTCAGAGCACTTTGTCAACCTATTTCGGATCTGCTGCGCGTCTCACAGTGCCTCTTTGTATCTCAACTCTCCTCTCAGCTTTTGTCTAAGAACAATAAGGCATCTGATTCAGAAAATATCTGCTACTGAACTTTTATGCCATGCCCAAAACAGAGACCTTTCAGATACTAGTATCTGTACATTTCAAACCATTTGGGAACAAATCAAACTGCCAGTTGTCGATTATGAGTTTGCACAATACAAATTGCATTGATGATACTATCATGTTCATAAACTCTGCCCTTCTAAGTTACTTGTTTTTCTCACTGGAGAAAAATACACAATTACATACCTTTAGCAACCTGACATGACAGATGCAACTGGAAAGCAGGCTGGCTTTCCTCAAGAACAAAAATTGTTTTCTATTAGTAAGGTCTGATAGTTGTGATCAGCTTATCTCTGTGCTGTTTGTCAATGCAGCACTAACACAAGAGTTAATTGCCTGCTTCAAAATATACAAAAAGTAAGCAACCAAGCTAAAAACCCCAAACAGTACAAGCCCTCAGACTTTAGCGACAATACCTTTCAGACCCTGAAGCAGCTTCTATCTCAAGGACAATATTTTTGCCATGTTTATCAGAAAGTGTTATCAGGCAGTTGTTAAAATATCAGGAGAAGCAGAATTGCTGAGACAGACAGACAGGTATCTCAAGGGATGAACATGAATTCAAGGAATGTGCAGCAAAACTTCAATGAGACAGGGCACCAACAGGGCACCAAGAAAAATCACAGTCTGGTTTGCTGCCATCACCCTGTGGCCTCTGCTCCAGCCACATAAGATTAACAATCCCTCTTGGCATGTATGAAGAATACCCACAGGATTTCTTATGCTCACATTCATACCTTCTTCATCCTGAATGAGTCCTGCTTAAACAAACAAAACTTCTCATGTGCAGGTACAAAGCTAGCTGTTAATCAAAGCTGCAATAACCAAGTTTTAGTTTTTACATTTAAAATAATATTAATATTAAAAAGCACTAACAAACAATATTCTTCAGTCATCATTCATCAAAACCTATCTCCTAACCCTAGATCACCCATGTCCCCAGAGCAGTGTCCTCTCACAGAATGCTAGGTGAAATTACTCAACTCCGACAGTCGGCTGGGGCTCACAGTTCATGCAGTGCAGGGCCAGCAGCTGGGATCTTTCTTCTAAGCAGAGAAAGTGTTAACCATCTGTTGGCCACTCCTTGCCTGGACTCTACTTGGAGACTCAAATAGGAAAAAAATGGGTTGTAGTGAAAGCAAGAAATCTTTCCTCTCTTCGGCCACTTTACATAAATATTTCCATATATATATGTGTGTGCAGACAAAGGGCTGCTACCCCTGTGATTAAAGGCTCATTTCATCATCAGAGAATGTAATTTAAGAATTACTGAAACCTTAAATCCTGAAGTGTTCTAGTGAAATTTTAAAGTGCTCTGTAAAGTGGAGATGAAGCCGTTCTTCCTTATGTGCCTAAATCTTCCCTCAGAGGATAAATAATTGACCCTGTGCAGGATTATGCTTAAGGGGAAAAGTAGGAGACCCTGGCATGAACTGAAAACATCCCTGAAATGCTTATGCATTTTGATACCAGAAGGGCTGGGTTTTTTCTGCATTTTTCAGGATAAGTATGAAAAAAAGATTAAAATGTACCTACCAGACATGCCACTAAAACTGAATCACTGTTATTTCTTTCAGTTGGTGATCTGCAAAGTTTAATTAGGCGAGGAATACCTGAATGCACAAAAGAGTATCAGGAGAAATAATTTAGAAAAATAAACTCCTTATTTTGAGGTGAGGTCTTTTTTTAAGATGTTTCCTATTTATCTTCCTTAATAGATATGATCTCTAATGCAAAGATGATATGCAAATATTTAAAGGACTGTCCATGGAGCTATGCAGTTCAGAGCAGTCATAATTAATATCTGTAAAGCATAAGCAAACAAATGTATTGTTTTTACCCACTATTGCTCTTTCAAAGTGGAAATTGTGACCTCCATTTCTTCCCTATCAATCCTCTCACATGCCCTTAAAAAACTCCAGCCAAAAGAACATGTTGCTTCCCGTCAGATTCATCACATCTGAACCTGCAGGGGTCCAAATTTTCTGTCCACTGACAGATCCTACACAAGGGTTTAAGTAAAGGAATGGAGGAGGCAGCACTGTCCATTGGCACAGTCTGTCACTGTTATGTGTTGAGTGGAAGCTGCACCTCAGGTTCCCCTGGGAAATGAGCCAGAGGCTCATTTAGCACAACCTCCTCAGTCATTCTCTGGACAGACTACATAGGGAGTCTGTGCCATCAAGTGTACCAAGTGAGGCTAAAAATGAAAAAGAGCTTCTCTATGACTGGCAGTTCCTCCCTCTTTTTCAGTTTGCCATTAAGGGAGTGATACATCCTTACAGCTGAGTTTTACGGCTGCATCTGCCACTTCAGGATCTCGGCTAAGTCGCGCCAGCGTAACTGCAGATTTCTGTTGGACTCGCTCACAAGCAGCAACTTCTGCTGAATTTCCTGAAGACGATCTTTCAAAGAGCATTTCCATTAGAAGTTGAACACCTAGAAGGATGTAAGAGCCATTGTTATCCTCTCTCCAAGAAAAAAACCTAAAGTAAAGGGAAAAAGCAAGCTAGGTAAATACAGACCAATCACTGTCCAAATAGGGCACGAGGAATGCATAAATGCGGACTGCACTTTGGCCATCTGATTCAGGCACATCTAATCAGTGCATAAGTTTGTCTTCACTAGGAAGCTACAGAACTTCTGGAACTAGAAAATGCACTAACTCTTCCCTCCTCTAACTTCTTGACTCCTCTGCAAGTTGGTATTTTAGATTTCTCAAATTTATTTCAGTCAAACTAAATGCAATTCTTTATTAGCTTCTAAATGAATGTAAAGGTAATCACTAACCTAAAAACCCGTAGGGACATATTTCAGGTCTCTACATGAAAACTTGCTTTGAATTTAAGGGACTGTCTCTACAGGGACAGTCCTGTCATTTACAGAGACTGTAAAGAAAAGTAACTTTTCTTTCAGTTTAGGTATTTTTAAGCAAGCTTTTAAAAGTTCTCATCTCAAACTGTTCAGGGGTACTTAGAATGGGAAATCACTTAATGAGGGAGATGACGAAATTCTGCCTCTTGAAGTTTACTGTGCAACTAGCTCTGCCATCCACGTCAAAATGGTTTCATCAACTTATTGCTTGTAGGAGTTGATATTCTATCAGCACAAAAACAGATGAGACTGTACTGATTTCTATTTTCTAAATTATTTTAAATGTAAGGACAATTATGTGCTCCATAACCTATTAGGCATCCAGATTACTTCAGGTAGCATCAGAGGTTTTTAACTGTTAGAACATTTGCATAAATAATTAAGAGAATTAGCATCAGAATCATGCAGCTAGATAATAATCAACTGACATACAAAAAAGGTAAAGTTGAGAAGAAAACATATCTAAACTCTCCAGGATTCAAAGACCCTGCTCAGTCTGTGAATCTGGCTTCTGACCAGCATCTAATTATTACAACATTAGGCAGACACAAAAAGCCTTTATACACAAGATGTGTGTCAACCCTTCTCAAACGCCTGGGGGCAAATGTTTCTGTGTGAACTTCCATTAAGGGCTATACATAAACTTTATTTCACCACATTGTGCTTGACAATCCACATGAACAAGTACATCTCCACCTGTTGCAGTATCTAGCACCAGTTAGGCCTAGTTGGCATAGCTGTTAGCATAATTTAATGAACTTCAATCAAGTTTCTACTGTAGTAGAAGGAGATGAAATATGATCAAACACCTGTCCCAAACAACAAAACAGTTTTTCACGTGCTGAATAGAGAGCCAAAGTACATAACAAACCTTTTAAGTGCAAAAACTTCCAGGGTGTATCTGGATTGTGAGTGCTAACAACAGCAAATCAGAAACAACAGCACAAGACAAACATACAAACCACTGATGGTATTCTCTACCCAGTCCTATAAATCCCAGGGTCCTGGGAAATGTCAGGGTCTTACCAAGAGTTTCTAGAAAAGACTCAGGGTAGCAAAGCCCTGTGTGCCTGCACCAAGAGGTCCAGGACCACCTCTCCAAACTCCGAGAACACAAAGAGCTTGGACCAGGAGCATGGCAGGAACCACCACTTGGACCTGACCAACCTCCCTCTGGGACTGCCTCACCTCTCCCATGCAACAAGGTCATATAAGGAACCACAGTGCTAATCTGCCTGCTCCCACCCTCACTGCACTGCCTTCTGCATGGGACAAGGAAGTTGGATGATTTGTAAAATTGCATATATCTGTCATTACATTCCAGTCAACCTCCACACTGTCATTTGATCTCAAACCGCAACACCTATGCACCTTAGCAAGGATATCAAATGCACACTACTTCTGTGCACACACAGATCCCATCAAGGAAACTGTTGTGCCCAATCCTTGCCAGTCATATTTGTGTACACAGAGCTCAAATTTCCCACCGAAATGCAAGAAACAGCTATATCCAATATTACGTCAGAATGGGCCAATTCTATTTCAAGACCCACTTCTATGCAGATGCCTTCTGAAAACCCTTCTCCCACCTACAATCAGCCATGTCTGAGATTGAAATACATCCAAACTCAAAGCATTCCAATCCAAATGGTAACTAAAATAGTGTGGAAGGACAGAAAAAGTAATATATGTGAAGCTTCACTGTAGTTTAATATTTCCCACAAAAAAAAAAGCTGTCTTACTATATTGCTTGGCCGTGAATTTGCCGGTAGGTGTATTAATAAAGCAGTTATGTCTTCCTGTATCCTTATCCACAGAATTATTAACCCAACTTCGCAGACTTCTGGGAGGCCTGTAACACCTAGTTTTTTTCAACATGATTGATTTGTCTTAATATGATATTTAAAGAAGTGTTGGGGAAAAATGGCAACTGCAGTATAGTAATAAAAATGTAATTCTTCAAAAATTATAAAGATTTTGCACACCTGTGAAAAAAGTGACATGCTGGTCTGCATGGCTCAGTATCAGATGATGTCTTTCAATGTATAAGAATTGATTACCAGAATAAAGGTTGCTGAAACCCTTTGTACTACTTTGCTTTGTGTCTGGGTGTGTCACAACAACATCCGCAATATGGTCATACATGCAAAGTTTTCTAAAGCAGTTGCAATTTATTTCAGCTACACAGAACCATCCCAAGGACTCATTTTGCACCCGGCAGCAATGTGCAATATCCAGCAGAGACAGGATGCAAAATGACGTGTTATTAGTGAAGCCTTTCTCCTTTACCTTGTAACCACTCCTTTCCCATCTACCCACATGCTCCACAAACAAATACAGAATATAATTCAGCTAAAATACATACCATTTCCTTGAATGATTTCTGAAGCACACTGGTCCAAGACAGACATGTTTGCCAATATTGTTACCACCTGTTATTAAAAAAGGAAGGAAATATGAAGTATAGCCTTATAATTCCGTAATATTAAAAAGCAATGTGGTATAGCAGAAATATGGCAAACCCAACAAAATTAAAAAGCATTCTTGTACTTGAACAGTCTATTTCCACCTTTGTGATTTCTCAGGGGTCCTTATCTTACACATGGCTGTTAACTGAAATCCAAACAAGAAAAGTAAAACCTCTTTTTCTCACACTTCTATACTCATGCATAGAAGTCTGTCATATAGAGGTCTACGCAGCAGATTTGTTCAGTGGTCAAATTAGTAGAAAGAGGAAGATAAAAATTTATAAAACCCAACCAACCGAAAAAACCCTGGAGTCCTGTGAAGAATTCAGCCAGGAGCTACCCATCCTCAGGAACCAATCCTGTAGTCACATTCCAGCTCAGGCAGAGCTCACAAGGAAGGCCAGGAACCAGCACATAGCATATGTTCAGTAGCGCCAAGTTATTGGTACCTTTCTGCTTCAGGGTTCAGCTGAAACACTGAGAAGGCCTTGCAACAGATTTGGAGTTTTGAGCCTTGATTCAAGGGAGTGTTTAAGGAACACTTTTTTGGTTTTATTGAAGCCATAAGTTGTGTGCATGTCAAAGCACTGTCCTCAAATGAGCTGGATTTAAAAATCCGTTTATACCTTTCCTGAGATAAGGCCAAGATTAGGTTTTGTACCAACAGAAGCACATTTTGACATCCTGATTTACAGAATTTCTTATCCAAAACAGCACAAACTGTTTTCAAGTTTAGTGTAACTCCGCTTGCTTAAAGTGATGCAGCAAGCTGTTGACAGAGACTGGATCATGCGGAGCTATTGGCTTTTAATGACTCATTCCTTTCACTGACATCATACACTATCTCTCATACATCCTGCAAGATACTATTTTTTACTTTATCCTTGAAATAACTTGCTTCCTGAATGCAAGCACGTCTCAATATTAACAGCATATGTGAGAGACCAAATAATAAATGTTACAGTTAATTAGAAAACAAAATAGAAGTAATATTCTTTCTTAAAAGGTTTTAGCTTTCTCTACTCCAGTTTATAAAAACTCATCAGCCTCAAAAATAAACGATCAATTTGAGAACTGGTTTTCAGCTTTTTAACAGTACAGTGTCAGTTCACAAACAAGCAAACCACTTAGACGTAAATAGGTATGAGATCAAATCACCATTCTGATCTCACTTTGCCGTTTTGATAACATGGATGACTCATTTTCAATGCTGTGACTTAAGGGTCTTCCACTTTTGAAGGCAGTGTTATAGTGTCATCTCTCTGAATAAATATACTTAGGATGCAAATGAGTTGCTGAAACTCTAAAGAGTGACAGGTAGAAATATGGTAACTCAGTATATGTCTATGTATTTATTCCATATTAATTATTAACTGTGTTTCAGGCAGAGTGTATATGTTTTCTCATTCTAAATTATATCCTGTTAATGAAAATTGCTTCCTCTATGCAGAATCTGTACCCCATGTGGCTCTCTAAGCCACAGATGAAGAATTCAACTAACAACAATTTGAATATGTGTCAATTATTCCACTGCTTCCAGTTATTTTGTCTAATAAGTATTTTCATACATAAAAATATTTTGTGTGTATCTTTTGACACCAAAAATTGAGGTTATATATCTATACTTCCTTTGTGTTGATTATATGGCTCCATATATTTTGCAATGTGTTTGCACACATGAAAACCAGTGTGTCCAGCAGGTCAAGGGAGGTGATTGTCCCCCCTCTACTCTGCTCTTGTGAGACCCCACCTGCAGTACTGCATCCAGCTGTGGGGTCCTCAGCACAGGAAGGACGTGGGCCTGTTGGAGGGAGTCCAGAGGAGGGACATGAAGATGATCAGAGGGCTGGAGCACCTCCCATATGAGGACAGGCTGAGAGAGTTGGGGTTGTTCAGCCTGGAGAAGAGAAGGCTCCAGGGAGACCTTAGAGCAGCTTCCAGTGCTGAAAGGGGGCTACAGGAGAGATGGGGAGGGGTGTAGTGAGAGGACAAGGGATAATGGTTTTCAACTGAAAGAGGGCAGATTTAGATTCGGTATTAGGACGAAGTTTTATCCCTGTGCGGGTGGTGAGGCAGTGGCCCAGGTTGCCCAGAGAAGCTGTGGATGCCCCATCCCTGGAGGGGTTCAAGGCCAGGCTGGATGAGGCTTTGAGCAACCTGGGCTAGTGGGAGGTGTCCCTGCCCATGGCAGGGGGGTTGGAGCTCAATGATCCTTAGGGTCCCTTCCAACCTGAACCATTCTATGATTCCATGATTCTATGAACTAGCCTAATGGGTTTGTATGTAACCTTCTTCTGAGAGGTTTATAAAAGACCCTTATCATCAACAATGCTCAAATTCTACATATATTATCTTCTTTAATCTTGGTAGGACTTGAAACGCGTTAAACTATAGAATAGACTCACTCCATATGGATAGATTTTTCTTTCCCCAAAAAAGTCACATTTTCCTGTGGTGTAAACATGAAATAGCATGAAAACACATAATGGGCAAGCTAAACAAAGAGTTAATTTTAAATGCTATATTTCCCCTATACTTGCCGATTTTAAAATTCAGTATACATGCAGCTCACCCAAAGATTTCCTCTGTAACACAGACCAAAGTTCAAGGAAGTTTAATGCTAAAGATGAACTCTCGAGAGGAAAACACAAACTTAAATGTAGGCTCAATTTGCTTTGAAAAGCAAGACTTTCATGAGCACTGGTATTAATGAAGTCTCATTTATTTTGGATTTAGAGTTGATCAAAAAACATAAACAGAACTTTTCCAGCGGCATCTCTCCCACTGTAGATTTTTTTTGTTTAATGATACCTAGGCTCATGCTGCAGTCTTTATCTTAGCTTCTCTTTTCCCATTATCTGGCTCCAAATTCCGTAAAGCTCTATCCAGTCTGTCAAAAATAACTGTGCAGTGGTTTTGAATCAGCAAACCAATACAGATGTTACTGTGAGACATGAAGCACACAAACAGATATAGATAAAAGTAACCACCTAAGCCTCATTTCCACTAGGAAAATAGATGAAAATTACTGGAAAAAGTAGATACCAAAACCTCTTTCAGAACTGAAATAATTTTGAAAGAAGTGAAAGAGTTGAAAATATTTAACATGGAATCTCCTCTGTTCAACTGCAATATTTAGTATCAATTTCATTAATTGTTCAGGAAGTGTCTTGTAAAAGATTAAACTCCAAGATCATAAAGGACTGGCACCTGAGACAATTTTTGATTCTTTGAATTTTTCTGGATTCCTAAGCCATGCAATGAACTTGTAGTCAGCTCAAAGTATAAAAAAGAGGATATCCTGAAGACAGGACACATGAGCTCTGATCATCTGCCAGTGCTATCATACCATGCAGAAAGTCTGTGCTGAAGCCACCCACAAGTTCCAGTACCCCAGTGATATCTTGATATGCGGGATCTGCAGGTGTGCTATTAAGCAAAGACTGTCAGAGATCTTCCAGGGAGAGAAAAAAAAAGTTGCTTCATCATACATGGAATTTTTTAATGAAACATCTGATCTCACCTTCTATTGCCAAACCTAATGCAGGATTTTAGTGGACCGGCTTAGAAACCACGTGCTGCAAGAACTGATCCCATCCAGCATCATTCCCTGCCTCAGCGCCTGTATGTCTGCTAGGCAGATCTGTTCTGGATCTAGATCTTGAGATGTCCACCTCCAATATCTGTATTCTAGCAGAGCTCTGCAACAGACTAACCCAGGACAATCCACACGCTAGTCTATGTTAACCAGATCCATCAAAAATAGACTTGATCAACAAATGAACTAATACATCTGTTAGCCACCAGAACAAAGCTGAATTATTCAAGTCAGTGTCACCTGATTTACAGTACTAAAAACAACTAGAGGAACAGGTCTCTAGGGTTTGTCCCTGTGTTCACCACCTATGCGTTAATATGTGCTCTTCACTATGCACCTGAACCATGTAGTAGTGAGACACAGTGAAACACAAAATGCCAGAAAGAAAATTCTCAGACCAGGTCATATTTTAGCACCTTTTGAAGAGGCACCAACTTATCAAAATACTAACATGCAGATAGTCCCACTGGGATGAGTAAGATTTTTCACAAGACTAAGAGACTGAGGAGTTGACTTTCAGAGCTTCAAAAAACATATCCAAAATCAAGAAGCTTTGAAAGTTCACCTTTAAATGATTTCTTGGTGAACTACGTAATGCAGGGATATTTGGTGGGGAGGTGGGGGTGTGCTCTCCTTTAAGTCCATGGAAAATTTCTCTATTTAATAAATAAACTTAAAAATAATAGAGATGTTTCATGCTTTTCAAATGTCAGTACAGTATCATGTTCCTAGTCTCGCAGTTGCCCTGGAAATTAATCTAAAGCCTAACTAAAAATCTCTATTCCTATGAGCCAAATAAGTAGACAGATAGTAAACACAGATACCTCTCCGTAGTGACAATATCATCCATTATTACAGAATTGTCAGTGTTGATATTGTTGGCTACTCTAGTAAACAAAATCTATTTTTATAATTTGAAAAGTGTTTTTAGTTCCACATAGTTTCCCTCCACTCACCTAGCCTTTTGCACACACTGAATTTATGAATGACAAACCTTCCTTTTCAGTTCTGTGCTCTGCTTTGCTCTAAGCCATAGGAATTTCAGTTGTCAAGGGTGATATAAATTTGAGAAACCATGGTTAATTAAGAACACTAAAAATAGTTTTGTTCAAAACCTCTTGAGGAACTACAGTCAGCTTGGAAATTCTCTTGCTAAAGAATGTGACCACTAACACTATAACACTTCTCCCCTACTAAACAACTAAGAGTGACTAGTGCTCATTAGCCAGTACCTGAAGGTACTGAACATTTGTTGTAAAAATGAAAATTATATGAAAACTCTTTGTTATAAACTAAGATACATATACCGAGAGTGTAAATCCTAAATGCTTTAGATAACAAAGAGATTTAAACATAAAGGGCACAC